ATTTCCTATTTAAATCGGGGAGAAAACAAAGACAGAGCTCTGAGTTCTCTGAGTGGATGAACAATTGATATTATAGAAGAGCAAATTCACCTCTTAACTGGGCCCCTCACTCTCCATATAGTTCTCAGGGTTTTGGTATCAAATGTGGTCACCAATGTTCTATAGTAAATAGTAGCAAGGGTAAGACATACCTGTTGATCTCAGGAGAGACAATACCTTGTTGTATTTCTGATATAGCGTCTTGAATTCTTGAAGGAAAAGATCAGAAAGGTTTAAGTCAAAGCCAGGGTACTGGTGAGAAAGTTGAGGCTCTAAATTCTAAGGATGGCTAAAAAATGCTTACAGAGTAAAGCCAGGGAGTGGAGGTTTTAAAAATACTACAAGTGGCTTTTCTTTTTCTTTTTTTTCTTCTTGAAGGGTCATTCCTAAATAAAGTATATTAACCATGTCCTGGATTGTACACCCACCATCCTCTCCGCTTGGATATTCAGCCATTCTGAATGAATTGGATGAGGGAATATGCTGCCAGATATTTTTCTGAAACTGATGCATGATGTCTTTGCTACCAGGGAGATGTCCTTAGCTCCTAGGTGGTTTGCTTTGGGTGGTTTTTCTTTTACTGATTATTGTATTTCTCGTGATCTCACCCTCAGCCATTTATGGGTCCCTCCTGAGACTGACTCGACTCTGAACACAGAAAAACTATGCACACACAGGAATATCCCAGAGTCCCCACATGCCTGCCAGTCCATCTCGGTCAACCTGCGGTCATAATGGGGTTTGCGATCACCAAGCCTCTTCAGAATGCCCTGGTTTTCCATGGTGATTCTCATTAGGTCCCGGTTCCTTGCTTCTCTGTTTAAGCTGAAAAACACAAAACCCTGATATGGGTGAAAAATAAAATCCTCCTCCTGGATGGGAATGGGGCAATGAAGCCATGATGTCATAAACCCAGGCTGCCAAAGCACCTGGAGCAAGCTGCCCCGCTGGGCCAGGCTGCATGCCTCCTGAACCAGGCTGCACTCTGGGAATGTGCAGAGCAGTGGCAGGTTGAGATCAGTGGGTCTCACCCCGCCCCCTCCCTTCACTAGCCGATCTAGTTGATTGGTCTGAGGTGCAGCTTGTAAAAAGTGGCATTTTGTAAGAGTCCTTTAGAAATTATGTGAAACAAGAATTAAGAATGTATGATTTCTATGACAAGGGAAGGTCTTGCCTATGGATAAATCTCAAATGTCTGGTGACAAGTTTTGTTTCACCTCACTTCCCTCAGCTTTCAAGTCAGTTTCAGATACTTAAGGATACAGGAAAGGCATCTTCTCACACACACACACACACACACACACACACACACACACCTTTTCCTTGTATATACTTCTGTAGCCCTGACCACATTGCATTATTATTATTTTTATCCTCGCCCAAGGACATTTTTCCATTTTTTGTCCAGATAGAGTGGAGGGGAGAGAGAGGAATAAAGAGAGAGAGAGAGAGAGAGAGAGAGAGAGAAACATCGACGTGAAAGGGACACGTCAAGTGGTTGCCACCCGCATGACCAACCAGGGACAAACCACAACCGAGCTACGCGCCCTTAGTGGGAACCGAACCTGGGTCTCTCTGACGCTCTAACTGCTGAGCCAAACCGGCCAGGGCCCACATTGCACTATTATTTACATGTCTCCCCTATTAGACCTGAGTTCCTTGAGGTTAGGAAATATATATATCTTATTTGATCTCCGTATCCCAGTGCTGAGCACATAGGAGCTCAGGAAATATTTGTGGGACTGATTCTTAGGAATGTTGTCATAGTCCTAGCTGTTGTCACCATTTTACAAGAGTATGTAGTGCCTTTCTGTGACACACACTGAATAGGACTCTGAAATCAGTCTCTAAGATGATACGAAAGCTGTATAATGCAAGGAAGTTCCCCATTTTTTGGTAGTTTTCATTCTCCTTAACCTCACCTCTTTGGTTATTCCTCAAGATAACTTCCCTGCAGTACTCCTCCCGCTCAGGGGAACCCTGCACTAAAACTTAACAAGGGGAAAGTCATTTTTTACTTTCTAGAAATGACATGAAGAGAAAAAAAACACTACCTCTTGGAAAAGTATTCATTCCAGCAATCCACTTTGGCAGGGCCGCAATGGGCATTCGCGATTTTCTGACACAGTTGCTTGTTTTCATATTTGATTTTGTCGATTTTCTTTTGTTCACCCTGGGGAGAAAGCCCACCCCTCCATGGTGACATCATCCTACATTGTTTAGCATCACTCTCCTCTGGGATTGTGGGAAAGGACAAACTGAGGACCATAGTGAAGGCTGGGAGCAGAGCTAAAAAAACTGGGGTTGATGTGTATGGGGAGGAGGAGAATTAACAAATCTTTTGGTTACATGGGTATCTAGAAGACTGGGAAACTGGACCTGTTTAGGACACAGATAAAAATCAGTAAGGTACATCTACAAATGGCAAGAACAAATACCTGTAGTTTGCTCAGTTTTAAAATGTGATGTGCATGTGCCATTGGAGGTTTGGAATCAACAGCAGGTTTCACTAGAGAAGGATAAAAGAGAGCAATTTTATATCATAGGTGTCCTCTGAGCAGCCTCAGAAAACCTCACATTCTAGACAACGACCCTGATGAATAAACATTGTGATTTTGAAGTCTGACCTTTTCTAGTTCAGGAATTTTAGTTTCCCAAACTGATGTCTTTGGAGAGTTTTGAGCAGAAATAAAAGGATGGTAAGGACTAGAAAAAGTGTAATCTACAGAGATAAATGTCCTTTGAATTCCATGAAAGAGTCTTTCTCCCACCCCTTCCCAGTAGGACTAACTTGTCTATTGCATGCTAGAGTCCTATCCTCTTTCTAGCTTACTTTGGCTTTAAAGAACTTATTTAAAAAATTTTTTTTAAATATTTTTTTCTTTATTGATTTTAGAGAGAGAGAGAAACATTGATGAGAAAGAACATCTATTGGCTGCCTCCTGCACGCTCCCCCCACTGGGGATGGGGTCCACAGCCTGGGCATGTGTCCTGAGGAATCTGTGACCTCTTGGTGTATGGGTCGACCTCTTGGTGTATGGGTCGACGCTCAGCCAGTGAGCTACACTGGCCGGGTGGCTTTTAAGAATTTAAATGAACATTTCTATCAAATGAACTCCCTGGTGGAAGATAAATTTTGTCACTAATGCTAATGTCCTCTTGACCCATCTCAACAGATAAGGCCACATCATCAAAAAGCCATGTACTGGTTTGGTTTACTGTCAGTATCTCTAAGGTGGACCCTTCCTGAACTCCTAATGGCAGCGTCCAACCCAAACTGTCCACATACCTATTTGTATTCTATTCTTGTGAGATACATAGTTGCCCAAGTCCAGTTTCTTCCTGAAGTTTGTGCTCTGCCTGTGATTAGAGACGATTACAGGGTAGGCTAGATAATCCAGGGAGTTGTTCATCTTCTCTTCCTAGTCTCACTTCAGAAACGAGGCAACTAGGCTCCTCTGTGAGGTACTCAGTTGTCCCCAGGATGGGTTGTCATAGTTAACCAGTTGTGACATCAGGGACAGGTCTCAGGGAAAGGAGGAGCAGCAACCGAGCATGCCTGGTTGTCCCTGGGCTTTTCTTTTGAAAGCTAACCTAGACCCAGGTCAAGATGAGGCGTGAGGAGCTCACCTGCCTGGAGTGCAGATGCCACCAGCACCAGCCGGAAGAGGTGTGGTGTGCTGGGGGGTGGGCGGAGGAAGCCAGCCCTGGTTACATACCTTAGCCTATAAGCTAAGTAGTCTCCACGGCAACGGTTCACCTGAAAGTGTGAGACAACAAGCTTTGGGGGAGGTGAACAAAGATCGGAATGATAATCCGATCTAATTTCTTCACTTTGCAGGTGAGGAAACTGAAGTCCAGAGTAGCAGCCAAGCTGCTCAAGATTCAAGTTAGTGGCAGAGCTGGGCTCAGAACATGGGTTTCCTGAATTCCCAGGACCACATTTGCTTTTTGGAGGGGTGGGTGGATGGGTGGTTGAATGTATCATTTTCATGGCAGTGAGGGAGGACAGAGACTGTCTTTTGCTCCTAGTGACATCTCAGTAAATAACGAGTTGCTGACATTCTGTGGCTCAGAAAAGCCTGGCGGCGGCTCCAGGACCAAAAATGAGATGGATTCATCTCCACACTAGCACTGGGTGCGGCACCCAGGGGTGCTCCACACTTTTGCTGGTGGAGAGGGAGAACTAACACCTATTCAGTGCTCACTATTAGTGCTGGGCTCTTTCTTTAAATGTTGCAAACAGCCCTAGGAGTTAGGAACTAGTATTATCCCCATTTTTATTTTATTTTCCCCAGTAAACAGGCTCAGAGAGATTAAGTAATTTCCCAGGATCAGAATGCCAAGCCTGGCTGCACAGAGCCCAAGCCTTTATTTAAGCACCAGGCTGACTCTCAATGAACGTTGAAAGAACCGGGCCCTAGAGTTGGGCTTCTCAAACTTGAACCTTCGGAGGACCTGTAAAATGCACCTTGTCATCAGAAGGCCTGAGCTGGGGCAGAGATTTTTTCTGACCCGCTCTCGTGTGATGCCAATGCTGCTGGTCTGCAGCAGGAAGAGTCAGAGCTCACAGCGGAACCCCAGTGCCCCTGTAATCTGAAAAAAAATAAGCGACACTCGGTTGTACCCCGGTCAATAGGAACGTTTATTGTGCCTTGCATTTGATCCGTGAGTTGACTGCACTTCCCAGTTTGTAATGATACGGGAAATGCCTTGTCTGGGGGTGGGATAGGATCGCGCACACCGCCGAAACTCAGGAGCGGCCGCACTCCGGCCCCTGGGGACGGGCGCGAGGGTTTCCGATCGCTCGCTCGGCGCCGGGCGGCGCGCGTGCCTCCCGCTGCGGAGCGCGCGTGGCCGCCGGGGCTCCGCGGCTTCCAGAGCCCAGCGGACCCGCCTCCGGGGCGGGGCGGGGCGGGTCTGGGCTCGGGAGCTCCCGCCCAGCTGACCGGGCCGTTCTCCCCTCGCTGGCTGTCGCCTCGGCGTGCAGGGCCCGGCCGCCGCCATGTCGGGCCCGTTCGAGCTCTCGGTGCAGGATCTCAACGACCTGCTCTCGGACGGCAGCGGCTGCTACAGCCTCCCGAGCCAGCCCTGCAACGAGGTCACCCCCAGGATCTACGTTGGCAACGCGTGAGTCGCCGCTCCCGAGTCCCAGCCCCGCTGGGCCCTCCCCGGGGAGCCTCGCCCACCAGGGAGCTGGGGAGGGGGCGTCCTTGGTTGCGGGTTGGAGGAGCCGGGGCGTGGTCGCCCCTTCGGAGCGGAAGCGGGGGGCTGAGAGGGGGCTGAGAGGGGGCTGGGCAGGGGCTGGGCAGGGGCTGGGCGCGGGCTGGAGTCACCGCCCACCCTGGCTCAGGCGGCGGAGGGGCTGGTCCCCGCCCCGGCCCCGCGTGGTCCTTCCCTTCCCCGGGTGCGCGGAGCCTGGGGACCGCTCCGCCAGCCTCAAGCCCTGCCCGCGGCCGCCACCCTCTAGGGACTCGGCCTTGGGCGAGGTCGGGGCTACCATGTTCACTAAACAGGTGGCCCTCTGTGGCCCGGCCGGTCTCCGGCCCGCGCGTCATGTGACAGCTGCCTGATTCTGCAGTGAGGTCACCGCGGAATGTCTGCCTTCGCTGCCATGGCAACGGGCTAACGTCACAATTCGGGCGTGCAACTTTTCCCGGCTGGGCAAGTCCAGATCTGGGAATCGAAATACCCCAAATGAGGGGGGCGTCCAGGGAGCTAGGCCAGGATTTCCTTGCTCCTTCTCCCTCCTTCCAGGCAGGGTTTGATTTACATGGATTCGAGAATGATCCCATGATAAACCCCATAAAGACCCGAGCCATCACTTAGAAAAGGCTTTCCACCTTCTCACGACCAGGAAATGCATTATTTATCACTTATGAGTTCTTAAGAAATCAGTTTCCCCATTTTCTGTTAGTCGAATTACTAGTAAGGAATTCTCAGCAGCAGGAGAGACCCAGTGTTAACCGTTCTGAGAGGTGCTGAAACACCAGCTCAATGTAAAGAATAGCTTACTGAGCCTGTACAGTCGGGAGCGCTCAGGCTGGACTTTCATCAGACCCCGAGGACCCAGTTACCAATGCCCTGAGATCCATGGCCAGGGACTGCATTTTAGAAACCGAGAATTACCCCCCACCTCTTGTTTTACACAGGAAGAGATAGTGACAACCAAGCAAGTGGTTGAGGGATTCTGAGGACCGGGGCAATGTCATGCTCATGTCTGTATCCCCTGTTCCTGGACTGGGACCTGATGCTTACTCTGTCAAGGACTGCCATAGAAATGGGGGTCATCTTGGAGCCTGAAGGGGTTCATAGGGCAGGTCCCAGCCTCATAGGGGACTGCCTCATTCATTCCATCATTCATTCACTATATTGAGTATCTATGTGTCAGGCAGTGTACAATGTTCATTCATAGCAGTGATAGTAACGATAACAGTACAATTTATTGAATGTTGAATTAGTATTAGGGAAGGGAGATGAATGGTAGTGACTCTTCAAAGTTATTTTATTGTTGTTTGTTTTTAAGGAGCTATTGCTTTACCAGTGCATGAAGTGTTGTGAGTAGAGATAGATAAAACGGAGTCCCAGGGTCACAGCCAAAAGCCTTAGTAATTGCAGAGTTCGGAGGATAACCTCCTCTCCAGCCACCGAAGCAGCAAGCGGCCTTGGCACCTTTGGAAACCCTGATCTCTCGGGCAGTTTGGCACACACAGCTGTCACCACTTTCCCAAGTGGAAACTAAAATTGTGAGCGTTTGGTAGCCAGAGTGGCAAGTGTAAAGGCCACTGTAGAAAACACATTCCTTGCCCTCTAAGTAAATTTGACCTTGACTTAGCCAGGGGTGTGTGGAGGCGTCTGGCAGGGCAGATTGACAGAGTACCTAGTGCTCCCCCACCCATTGGGAGCCCCTTAACAAAATCAGGGCTCCTGATCAGGGCTCAGAGGGCAGAGAGGAGCCCGGATGAGCCATGTTTTCTTGGTGTCAGGATTTGCAATGGTGCAGGCATGAGAGAGAGAGTGAGGGGGAAGACAGAGTGGTGCGGCTGGTGTCAGGAGAAAGGAGGTCTCTTCCCAGCTCTGCTGCTCAGCAGCCCATGTGAGCACATGCACACCTTTCTGCTCTCCTGCCAGGCCAGAGTTCACGCTCTGTCCTTCCTTCCTCATAGGGCTGACTCTGTGACAGGCAAACGAGGTCATGTAGGACAAGGCGTTTTGTAACATATAAACGGCTGTTTGAATTGGGATGTTGTGAGATAAAATAAAGGAGCCCTTTGACTATTCAGATCACATGTGTTGTAACCCCTGTAGTCCTGTTGGGGGCCACTGCTCCCAAAGTATTTACTAACCCAAGAGAGTGTGAGCAATGTGGCAGTAAGGATCCCTCTGGGGGCAGGGAGAGGGCTGCTGTACTGTGTAATCCCAGAGAGGAGGCTTCCTGTGATGTGCTGATTTCATTCTTCACTGATTACCACATATTCATTCAGCACCTACTCTACCAGGTACCATAGCAGGTGCAGGGCGTGCAGACCTGAAGCAGATATGGTTCCCCTGTCACAGAGCCCACAGTCTGGACATTAAACAAATGAGTACCATCAAGGGTTAGAATAGTAACACTGACTTGGTGTCTGGCTCTGTCTATAGCTCATTTAACACTCACAAATCCCAGGGGTTAATTACTGTTATCGTCCCCATTTTACTACAGGGACACTGAGTCACAGAAAGGTTAAGTGACTTGCTCAGTGTTGCCTGGCTGGTAAGTGGCAGGGCTGGATTCAGACTCAGGCAGTCTGGCTCCAGAGCCCATTCTTCGCCACTTGGCTATACCCACCACCATAGTATAGGGAGCATGATGCCAAGTGGAATGGAGGAAATCAGGAAATACTGCAGAGGGTGGTGAAAAATGAGAGGGTGCAGCCCCATGGAGAAGGGCATTCTAGGCAGAGGGAACAGTTCAGGCATGAAACCACCCAGTCTATTTGGGGCAGCTACTGGTAATTAGATATAGCTGGGGTGAGGGGCGAGGGTCATCAGATGAGGAGCTCTGGCAGATGAGAGCATGGAGGGCTTCTCGCTTTGCCAAGAGGCTTAGAATCATCTCCATCTTCCTCCCCTTGGGGCTGCCAGTTGCCAGTTAAGCATCCCTTGCTGCTGTCCCCTGTCCAGGTCTGTGGCTCAAGACATCCCTAAGCTGCAGAAACTGGGCATCACCCACGTTCTGAACGCTGCTGAGGGCAGGTCCTTCATGCATGTCAACACCAATGCCAACTTCTACAAGGACTCTGGCATCACCTACCTGGGCATCAAGGCCAACGACACGCAGGAGTTCAACCTTAGCGCCTACTTTGAAAGGGCTGCAGACTTCATTGACCAGGCCTTGGTTCAAAAGAACGGTAAGGAAGCCCCCACCCGGGGAAACAACGGGAGGCAGCTTTGACTGGACTTTTTCTTGGAAAACCTGTTGTTTCCTGTCTCCTGTGGTGAATGACTGAGGGCTTTAAGACTCTCTGGCTGCCCGTCAAGTGGCCCCACATTACACGAGATGTACAAACCTTTCACATGTGGCAGCTTCAGGGTCTGTATCTTTTTTTTTTATCCTCACCCGAGGACATTTTTTATTCAGATAGAGTAGAAGGGAGAGAGAGAAAGAGAGAGAGAGAGAGAGAGAGAGAGAAGCATCGACGTGAAAGGGACACATGGAGTGGCTGCCACCCACATGACCAACCAGGGCTGGGGACAAACTGCAACCGAGGTACGTGCCCTTAGTGGGAACCGAACCCGGGTCTCTCTGGACCGCAGGCCGACGCTCTAACCGCTGAGCCTAACCGGCCAGGGCCGGTCTGTATCTTTGATTTGACAGACTGAGGGTTCATTTCCAGCCCCGCCTCCCAATTCAAAGCTTCAGTACTGAAGATTTCTTTTCCATGATAAGAAGTCCGGAGGTGAAGGAGCTCCCGGCTGGTTGATTCAGCAGCTCAATGGTGGCATCAGACTAGGTGCTTTTCCTCTCTCCTCTGCCACCCTCAGTGTTGGGCACTCCCCTGATGGTCCCCAGATGGCCACAGCATTCTGGTTACCACCTCCCAAGAGGACAAAATACAGCAAAAGATGCAGCGGCCATCTCATCCTTATGTTTTTCTAATTTGTAAAGAGCAAGTGAAACGTTCCCCAGAAATCCTCCAGTGGAATTCTCACATCTCACTGGCTAGAGTCGGGTAATATGAGTACCTGGCCAGGGAGTGGGGCAGCCATGATTGACTGCGGATCAGCAAGCAACAGCCCACAGGCCAAATCTTCCGGTCAGATTTTAAATGCTTCCTGCAGCTCCCACACACAGAGTGAGACTGAAACAGACCTACTGAGGCGCTGGCGGCGGGCAAGGTGTGCCCGAGAGAAATCCTAGAAGGCCAGGGGCAGATATCTGCCGAGCAGGCTGGGCTACTTGCCCTTTGTGCTTTCAGCTTGTTTCTCGCAGCAGCTGCTTTACCTTCATGCTGCCTCCAGCCTCTTCCTCCCTCCCCACCCCACCCTACCTAGGGGAAGAGACTCCCACTGAGGTGTGCTCGCCCCGTCCCCCTGATACTAGCCTATCTCTGCTCCACCAGCAGCCTCCCCACTGAACAGAGTTTATTGGATGCTGGTTATCTTATGTCCAGGGCCCAGGAGGGAAGTTCTTTCACCCAGGGGATCTGCAGACTTTACTCTCAGGCCTTTCGTGGTCCTCATGGCCTCATACGTGTCACCCCCTTCACTCCAGCTGTTCTGAGCTCTTGTACAGATGAGAACAAGGGTCCCGGTTAAGGGGAGGGTGTGCTCTTGTATATTGGTTGGTCAACTATTCAGAGAGCTTAGAGCTCTCTGACTTTCTTTTTTCCATTCAACTAGGAACATTTCCTGCCTTTTTTGTCCTCCTGCCTTAGCCCACATGGCGCAGGTCATCAGTCTGGAAGCACGCTCTGCCTCTCCCACACTGTCCTCTGGCAAACCCCATTGCGAGCTTTAGCACTGGGCCCAGTGTCCGCTCTTCCATGACGCTTGCCCTCAGGCTGGGTCCACTGTGTCTCTTGTCTGTCTGCCCAGCACCTGATGTAGCATTGGGCACATAGCAGGGACACTTTAAGTGATTACTGAATGAGTGACAAAAATGAATTCCGTGGGCTCTAATGCTAAGTGTAAATGCTTCTAAGATTGATTGGCCAAGTGAATGAATAGAAATTCACTGGCCTCCCACAGTGTGCAGGGCTCAGGGGAGCGAGGGGCCCATCACTTTGGAGAGCTGGGGGGATGGCCAGGGGCACTGAGGAGGGAATAGTCACTTCTGGCTCTGATGATCAAGGGAGGCTTCACAGAGGAGGTGGCATTTGTGTGGGGCCTAGAAGGACGGACTTGGAACCCTCCCCTTCCCCATTGGCTCTGTGAGCCCTGGATATGCTGAGTGTGTTCCAGGCAGTGAGGCAGCTGTTCTGCAGAGGGTCCCGTGGCCAGGAAGGGGGCGAGGAAAGCCCCACTCTGAGTACCTTGGATATGCTGACCAGAGAATGAATGGGCAGGAAAGTGGGAGACTCCCCCTTCCTGCTTTGGGAGGCAATGGGAAAATAGAGCTGTGTTTTGGGGATAGGGTGATGGGAATACAAGAGGGGGAGGAGGAGAAGACCATGTCAGGTGGGGGCCAAACACTGCAGGGCCTCAAGGACCATTTGGGGAGCCATGAGATGGTGTTTTTGTGTGTGTGTTTGATTTTTCTTTTCTGTTTTTTTTTGTCTCGGTTTGTTTTTGCATTTGACAGCTAGGTTCCTTTTATTAACTGCTTTGTTGAGGTATAATTGACATTTAATAAACTACACATAGTACAATTTGGCAAGTTTTGACATAATGTATACACTTGTGAAACCATCACAACAACCAAGACAGTGAGCATATCCATCACCCCCCTAAATTTTCCTCTGTCCCTTTGTGGCCTCTCCCTTCCGCCCTCTGTCCCCTCCATTCCTAAGCAACCACCGATCTGCTTTCTATCACTGGACACCAGTACGTTCAGTAGATTTTTATGAATTACACAGCACGCGTGCCTTTTTGGTCTGGCCGCCTTCACTCAGCATAATTACTTCACGTTTCATCCATGTTGTTGCGTGTATCAATAGTTCATCCTTTTTAATGCTGAGTAGTATTTGGTCATATGGATGTACCACAGTTTGTTTATTCACCTGTTGATGGACATTTGGGTTGTTTCTATGTTTTGCTTTGGATTGAGATACAAGATTCATCTAGAGAAGTGGCCCTATCACAAGTGTGTAAATCAGTGCATTGCACCTATGTACCAGCCCCCAGATCAAGAAACAAAACACAACCAGCACCTCAGAAAGCCCACCACGTGCCCAGTCTCAAATCCCTGTGCTCCCAACTCTTGACCACTATCCTGACTTCTAACAGCATAGATTAGTTTGCCTGCTCTACTACTCTGTGGACTCATATATATCCTATCGGTATGTTTCATCCATGTTGTTTCTGATAACTTGTAGATTGTACATTCTTGTTATTTATCTATTCTGCTGTTGATGAGCCTTTAGGAGTCTTCAGATCGGGAGTAATATGAAGAGAGCTGCCTACGAATGTTCTGATGCATGCCTTTTGGTGAACGTGGGTGTGTGGCGTGTCCCTGCTGGGCATGGATCTGGGGCGGAGTTGCTGGGCCATAGGGGATGCATGGGTTCAGCTTGAGTAGATACCGCTTCCCAGTTTCCCAAGTGGTGTGCCCCTCCCCAGCCACATGTCAAAGTCCTGGCTGCTCCACATCCTCACTGAGGCTCTGTGTTTCTGTCTTTCTCATTTTAGCCATTCTGGTGGGTGCACTAGTCTTTGCATTTGCTGGAAGAGTTTTGACTAAAGTCATGGTGTGATTGGATGGCCCCAGCTCAACGTGTCCCGTTTCTTACAGGCCGTGTGCTGGTCCATTGCCGTGAAGGTTACAGCCGCTCCCCAACTCTAGTTATCGCGTACCTCATGATGCGTCAGAAGATGGATGTCAAGTCTGCCCTGAGCATCGTGAGGCAGAACCGTGAGATCGGCCCCAACGATGGTTTCCTGGCCCAGCTTTGCCAGCTCAATGACAGACTAGTCAGGGAGGGGAAATTGAAACTCTAGGGCACCCCCATCGCCTCTCCTCTAGAAGTTGGACAGGAGAGGCCGTGGTTGAGGTGTCCCAAGCTGCCATGTTTAGGAAAAACAGTGTACCCTGCTCCCAGCATCACCAGGCACTTGCCCACCAATCTGTCCCAACACAACCCTGGGCCTCTTTCCCCCTGGGGAGCATATAAAGCGACTTGCTAAGGAGGACATTCTTGCTTCCTGGTGTGTCCTGTGCCTGCAGTTTATGGTGTCCTCTCCCTGAGGTGGGATCGCAGAGGGGAAGACCTGTGACATGCACACTCTGGATGACCCGGGGCAGGTCTCTGGAAGTGTGAGGCCTGAGATGCTCACGGGCCACTCCTGACCTCCCCCACTCCTTATCCCTGGGTCCTCTCCTGAGTGGGGACAGCAGCACCTCGAGCCTTGTAAAGGAACTATGCAAACCGGCCCCCGCCTCCGTATCTGTCTCCCACTGGCTCCTCGAAGCCGCCCACACCCTGCTCACAGGTAGAGGCCCTCCGTGAAGTGTGAAGTGGGGTAGCAGTCAGCTGTTAGTGGGTGGAAGTTCCCACAAAGAGACCACATTTTAATTATTTCCTTAGGATTAAAGATACTTAGACACTGGCCTGCAGGTGGGCAAATTCCCCTGGAGGTCTCTCCTGAATCAGTAGTTTCTAAAATGTGAACCCTTGGAAGGCTTGAGTTCCGAGTCCACTGGAATATTGCCCCGGGTCTGCTCTCAGTCACTTGGTTTCTAGAAGAGCGATGTCTTGGGCATGGTTTATTTTTCTTTTTTAGAAAACAGGGTGTTGAAGTCCAGCCTATTTAAAAACCCCACCATTTAGAGAATTACAAGGGTTTTGTCCTGAATTATAGTGTTGGTGAGCCCAAGCCACTCGTGCTAGCTGCTTTTTGTCTCGGTTGCTATTCCAAGAGCAGGAGGAGGAAGTTGGCCAATTACAGCGTGTGTGTGGGTGTGTGTGTGGGGGTGTGTGTCTTAGAAACACAGCCAAAGGACAGACGGGCAGGGAGATGAACGGTCCCAGGCTCACACCCTGCCCACATACAGGTAGTTCTTATGGCTCCCTGGTGCCAGAAAAGATCCTGGGCCTTTGGGAGCAAAAAATGACTCAGCCAGGCAGAAATGAAACATGACGGAGCGTCCCAATGGAGGCTTTATTGGTGACAGAGCAAACAAACAAACAAAAAGAAACAACTCTTTTTAGGATGGTGTCGGGACATAGTAGCTCACACGTATGTGCACATTTGTCAGAATATAGGATCTTATTTTCAACACAGTCTTGTTAGGACTTTGCATGATCATCATCATGGAAAGTGATACAATGCTGTCATCTTCAGGTTCCCTAATGGCAGAGATGTGGTCCTCAGCCATGTCCCAACACCTAGCCCATAGGTGTCTGGTAGACGTTGTGGAATTAAACGTGTTTTTTTTTTTTTGAGCGCCAAATATATGTAGGGTGTTGTTCTGGTGGGTGTAGCAAGCTCCCAGAATCCTGAATTTGTGGTAGGATTACTTGCAAGGATTTGCAAAGAAGTCTTACCTGAAATGAAGTATCAGGGACTTTTGTCAAATATTTAACATTGTTTTAAATTTAAATTCAGGCAGTGTTAACATGTTGAGGTGTGGAATGTGCCTTTTTCAGTCGACCAGGGACTTCAGGCCAGGATGGGGAGAAGCAGGCATGCCTTTGGAACTCACTCACAGGTGTCGTGGTCTCTGTCTCAGCGGGGGCAGCACTGTGCAGCCCGGACGGGCCCCTTGTCTCTGTGACCACAGCAGCCCTGAACAAACTAGGATCTGTCGTCTTTTTCAGATACTGGCTGCCCAGATAGAGCCACCTAAGTGAAATGGCCATCCTCTAAACTCTGTACCTCAGTTTTCAAAGAACTCTCCCATTTAATCTAACTTGATCCTCACAATAACCGTAGTTGGTAGAGATATTCATGTATTGTTACCTTTAAAAAAAAGGAGCTGGGGTTCAGAGTGATTAAGGGCATGACCTCCAGGGTTGCCCAGCTCAAGGCAGAGTTGAGGCAATATTTCAGGTTTGCTGCTTTCTGAAGCTGAAGTCTTTCTCTCATACTACACTCCTCCTCAAGAAATGAGCCCTCTGGGAGTATCAAGGTGTGCTGCCACCTGCCCTTGACCCAGCCGTGTGTACAAGGGCCAGTTAGCTTTGTGGACAGAGTACAGCCATTCAAGCTGTGGTGCCAAGGGAGGTTGGGATGAGGGTGAGAGAAAGTTGGTACAAAGCCATCCCTGCTCCAGGAAAAAGAAGTAAAAGATTGGGTTAGAATGTGTGACTCTTCTTCCTGGAAGCATGTAGCATCCCTGAGTCGGAACTTTCTGCTCCACTTTTGGAAGAGGCTCAGGATATGGGGCTCAGGCTCCCCTCCCACACCCACGCAGTGGTCACCCCACAAGACAGCCACCACTACTTAGTCTTTTGAAGGCCTGTTTGTAGGGGTATGAAGGAGAAAAGGCCAGTGGGAGAATTACTGCCTTTACTTTGGGACTACTTTTAAGCTGATAACTTGGGATTTCTTGATAGTCTGTAGTCTCAGAAACCCCGTATTTACTTCACAAGATTTAGCTCCTAGTTCTTTGAGTAAATAAAATCAAATTCTATTGTGTAAGAGTCAACACATGCCTAGCACAAAGTAGAAGCTGTTTCTGGACAGCTTTACCCATGGGAAGTAATATAATAGGAACTCAGGGTGCCCTCACTCCCTCCTCTGACCTGATCCATTTCTTCTCTATTCTAAAGCAGTACACATACCATAGGCTGGTTTGTTTCCCTGCCACTCTGAGTAAAGAGCAGAAATCACCATCTGCCAAACGAGGGGACTCATCTAGAAGACCTCTAAGGTCCCTTTGGCTCTGACACTGTAGGATTCTCTAAGAATCCCCACTTGGAATTGACCACCACCTGGAAATTAGAGGGTATGTTATAATATGATGTCCAGTAGGTGGCGCTGTGTTCCACCCGTGGTGATGGATGATTCGAAAATGAATGTTGGTGCCTTTTGTGTCATAAGTTAATGTTAAGAGGCTAATGTTTTAATCAAAATAAGCACTGATCTTATAATAAAGATATAAGCTTTTCTTGCAGGAAATTTTCTGTCATAAAACCGGTGTCAAGTATTACTGAAGAGCCAACAATGATGGTCCTTCCAAGTCAAGATATTATCCTGATTGGAATTAGAGGCCATCTCCGGTTGCGAGAGTAGATTGGAAGCTTAACTTACCTCCTGTCAGCTTTTAGGGTAATTTGATTGTGAAAGTGTGAATTTTCTGGACAGAAAAGGGGAAGGTAGTAAATTGTTTTTTAAAAATAAATAAGTTTAATGTCTGTTATATCACAAATCAGTGTTAAAATACTAATACTGTAACCAAAATAAATGTCTTATATTACCAAGAAATGGTCTTTTTTTGGTCCTTCTTACTACAGTTGATTGCTTTTATGCTTTGCTTTTTATGTTTGCTTTTTCTAACCTTTAAAAAGAATCATCTAAAAATTAGCCCTCCTGAGCTAGGTTCCATGATGATTAGATTTATACAGTAGATATTTGTTGAACATCTCTCCAGTCCCAGAAATGTCCTGTGTTAGGAAGTCTTTTTATTTAATTTTTTAAAAATTCCACCTTTAGCCCTGGCCGGTTTGGCTCAGCGGTTAGAGTGTTGGCCTGCGGTCCAGAGAGACCCGGGTTCGGTTCCCGCTAAGGGCATGTACCTTGGTTGCGGTTTTTCCCCCGGCCCTGATTGTGTTGTGCGGGTGGCCACCACTTGATATGTCCCATTCACGTCAATGTTTCTCTCTCTCTCTCCCTCCCACTCTATCTGAACAAAAAATGGAAAAATGTCCTCGGGTGAGAATAAAATATAAATAAATAAATAAATAAAATTCCACCTTTATTGAGGTATAATTGACTTTGGTGCAATGGCCCACCCCAAGTGAGGGAGGTAAGGTTTATGGTCCTAAGAAAGTAGGGGATTGGGGTGACAGTCTCAAGATGGCCTCACATGAAGATGACTGGGTAGCATTTTAGGATTTGTTATCTTGCAAATGGGCAGTCCCAAAACATATCCCTGACCCCAGATGCTTTAAGTTCCACCATTGGCATTAGCTCCCTACAAAAAGCACTGTCCTTTTTCCTCTGAATAAAATCTTAGGATTGGGCACCTTTTTAGACTAATTCATTTGTCAGACCTCTGTGGCAACATAATCTTTATATTTTTACACAAAATCTTAAGATCTAAAACTGGTAAAAGTGTTTTTCAAGTATAATTTAAAAACATTTTAATTAAAAAGGGAATAGTAGCCCTGGCCGGTTTGGCTCAGCGGTTAGAGCGTCGGCCTGCGGTCCCGAGAGACCCGGGTTCGGTTCCCGCTAAGGGCATGTACCTCGGTTGCAGTTTGTCCCCGGCTCTGGTCAGTCGTGCGGGTGGCAGCCACTCGATGTGTCCCTTCATGTCGATGTTTCTCTCTCTCTCTGTTCCTCTCTCCCCCTCCTACTCTACCTGAACAAAAAATGGAAAAATGTCCTCGGGTGAGGATAAAAAAAAAAAAAGGGAATAGTATATGTAATAGTGTATAGTAATAAATTCAAACAATGCAAAAGGCTTATAATGAAAAGTGAATCTCCCAGCCCAAACCTTTAATATCTAGATATCATTTTCTCATGAGTGGAAAATGTTCTGCACTTGGCCTCTTTTGCCTAATATATTTTACCCCTTGTTTCTTATAGTCCCATTCATTTTAAAGCTACATAGCATTCCACTGAGTATGGATGTACTGTATAATGTATGGATGTGATTTCTGCATACTCTTATTTTAAAGGTCCAGGCTGCTTTAATGAGCACAGAATGTTGAAATGAGACTTATAGATAATTTCAGTTTTTAAATCTGCTCTGCATCCTGTTACTTTCTATGGTGGTTGTGATGGCACAGTGTCAAGTACATCCCCAAACTCAGAGCTAAGGAGGAGCATCCCGTACTCACTTACATAATTTCATGGGTGTGGACATGCCAAAGCCTAATTTTTAAAAAGATACTCTCTGAGCCATAGCTTCTGAATTGATCTCCAGTTCATTAGAAGTGGATGCTTTTATTCTATTTTTAAATTACACACACACACACACACACACACACACACTAGTTTAACATTCCCAGCATATAGAGCACTTGGGCAGCCACCCTGAGAGGAAGGAAGGAAGGAAAAAAGAAGAGGGAGGAGATGTTGGAAAGAAGAAGGAAGTGTGGAGGGCTATGCAACTAGGTTCTGAAGGGAGAAGAAAGTCTCCAAATACACAGGGTGACGAAGAGCCTCTCTTTGGCCAAACTAATCACTCTCCCCTGAACTCTTTTTCAGCAAGGCCTGGACTTTTGGACTTGCATGTTGACTATGTATTGTCCAACTTTAGCAAGAATCCTCCCGAGTCAGCTGAGCCAGAATCCCCCCATTGCCCTTATCTGATCACCCTCAATATCTCATGGGCTTCCTCATCCTTCACCATCCCCCAGGTGATGTCTGGTCACCCTGGCCTGCCTTTAGCAAGAATTCCATTAAGTTGGTTTAGCTAGAATCCTCCTTACCCCCAGTGTTTCCTCTAGTAATGTTCCATCCACTGACCCCCACCCTGCAATCAATATGGTTAGGTCAGCTCCTAACCACTGGTACCTCTGAATGGAACCTTATTTGGAAGTAGGGTCCTTAGTCAAGATGAGGTCATTAGAGTGGGCCCTGATCCAATATCACTGGTGTCCTTATAAGAGGGGGATTAGGACATAGACATGCACACAGGGAGAACCCGTGTGAAGATGAAGGCACAGATCAGGGTAAAGCTTCTTGACAGGCCAAGGGACACTGCAGATTCTAGCAAAACCCCAGAAGCTAGGAGAGTGGCATGGCGCAGACTTCCTCACCACCCTCAGAAGGAGCCAACCCTGCCAACACTCCAGTCTCAGAGTTCCAGCCTCCAGAGCTGTCAGACAATAAATTTCCGTTGTTGAAGCCACTCCGTGTGTGGTCCTTTGTTTCAGCAGCCCTAGGAAACCAACGCACAAGCCCACTTCGATGTTGCTGGCAGGGCTGGGGTTCTGGCTGGGCTTTCTGGAGAATAACCCTGTGATACGTAGCCAACTCTTCACCCCTTAGACCAGCATTCACTTCTGGAAATAACCCTAAGGTTAAAAAAAAAAGTTACTTGTGGAATACTACTTGGCAATAAAAAGAATAAATTATTGAAACATGCAATAGCTGGTGTGAATCTCCAGGGAATTATGCTGAATGCAAAAAGCTAATTCCAAATTGTTACATACTGGTTGATTCCTTTATATAACATTTCTGAAATGACAAAATTATAGAAATGAACAGATTAGTGGTACCATGGGTTAGGGGTGAAGAGGGAGGGCATGGAAGGAGGGTTATACAAGGGTGATGAGTGGAATCTTTGTGGAATCTTTATCTTGGCTGTGTGGTGGATATTTGACCCTGCACATGTGATAAACTTTCATAGAATTAAAGACACACACACATACAAGTAGAACTGGGGAAATCTGAATAAGATGGGTGGATTGTGTCAATGTCAATATCTGGGTTTTAATATTGAACTATAGTTTTGCAAGATGTTACCACTGAGAGAAGCTGTGGACATGGAATTGTCTCTATTATTCCTTACAAGTGCCTGTAAATTTACAATGATATCAAAATAAAAAGTTTAATTTGAAACATTACTTTGTACAGGACATTTGTAGCATCCCTTTCGAGGGTAGGGGAACATTGGACATAACCTAAAAGTCAGCTAAAACCCTGGGAGTTTAACTCTGGGAGCATTGTCTAGCTTTGAACAATGACAAGCTTGTGGACTATAAAGTTGAATTAATGTTAAGTTAATTCAGCGCCCTGGCTGGTGTGGCTCAGTTGGCTAGAGAGTCGTCCCATACACCGAAAGATTGCAGGTTCGATTTCTACAGGGCACATAGCTAGGTTGTGGGTTGAATCCCTGGTCGAAGCACATACAGAAGGCAACCAATCGATGTTCTCTCTCACATTGATGTTTTTTTCTCTCTCTCAACTCAATAAGCATATCCTTGGGTGAGGATTCAAATTAAAAAGCATATGGCATCATAGCCAGGTTGTCTCTGTGACAGTCTGCAGACAGCATGGCTATACATTGACAGAATAATTCAAAAATTTGGTTTCAAATAAAATAATGAAATAAATGCAATTCTGACCTTGACCATCCTCCAGCAGCTGGCTTTCCTTCCATCTCCAGCAGGTGGCAGAAGTGTTCCAAGGATGGTCCCCCACGTCTCCGTTTCACGTGGATGGGCCGACAGCCTCCAACAGCAGGTGGGGCTCTAGTATCAATCCCGAAGCTCAAGGACTCCAGGCCGGGGAGCAGTAGCCCTCTTCGAAGCCCAGGACAAGCAGGCAGTTGTCTGGCCACAGTAGGGTTAACAATCCACATTCCAGAGCAAGGGGAAAGGAGGCTGGAGGGTCACAGACAGGGGGAGGGGGCAAGAAGGACAAGCTTCTCACAACACACTGGCTCTGTTGGGAGAGATAGATCACCCCCAACAATGGCCACAGCTGTTTTTGTCTGCCCCGAAGGAAAGACGAAGGAAGCAGGTATCAGAGAGGGCCCTTCCTGCAGGGGCTTCTGTCTGGCTTGTAAAACTGTCAGAGCAGCTGCATTCATGTGTTGAGTGATAGATGATGGAAAGAAGGAGGGACAGTCGGCCGCAGATGGACACCTCGACTTACAAGTTGAGGCAGGTGGCAGAGGCCTGGAAGAGGCTCTGCAGGTGGGGCGTGCTGATTCATTGCCCAGTGAAAATACCAAGGGGACCTGGGCCACAGCCCTCTTCCCAGGCTCCTCGGGGCAGGAGCGGCTGCCTCCTCCATCCATCTGCAATGAAAGCTTCCGCTGGCCCTCCTTTCTTTTCCTGCACCTCAGGTGTGAACCTTCTTCCCCCACACCTCTGCCCCTCCCAGGCCCCTCATTCTGCTCCAGGGCTGAGGTAACAATTCCTTTTGCTTTCTTTGTGGCTGGCTGGACCTGGGATGGCTCCGTGGAATGCACCCCGTGGTATGCACCAATAAGACTGTCCGTGTAGGACTCAAAGCTGGTTTTGAAAAATGTAATGGGCTGGGAGACAAGGATGGAAAAATGTCAGTACTAAAAATGTTGGCCTTGGCTTTTGCTAAGAAAAGGGATTTTTGCTCTCCACTCCTTCCCACAGCCTGGCTGGGAAAGTAACTGTCTTTACAACATCAGCCTGCAAGCCACAGTGAGTGTCCTGGCCAAAAAATGCCTGTCACCATGTGCAGGATCTCTGAGGAGCATGCGCTGAGGTTTCCTCCTCAAGCTCCATCACCAGCACCTGTTAACTTACTCCTCCTGGCCTTGTAATCATATCCTCACCCCCTTACCCAAGGGGTGGCCCTCAGTTTTCTCTCTTGCCTTCCAAAAGATGCCAGGAGGGCCTTTCTTGGTCAGGATCATCAATGCTGAGTCACTTGGAATTGGGACCAATGAGCTTTCTTAAAAAGCATTCCTCTGCTTCTGGGTCTGTGGGGGCCACATTGACACCTGTAGGGCCATTTGTTGGGGTGGCAAATGAACTTGGCCTGAGAAATGGAATCAGCTGGGCTCGGCCCTGTGGAGGACAGAGAGCTGCACTTTCCTTTGTTAAGCTGGTCCAAAGTTTGTTTGGAGAAAGCCCAGGGAGGTAGAGATTAAGAGCAGAGGCTCATTTTGATATCTGAAAACCACAGCCGCCTGCACGGGGGAGGTGCTGAGGAGCAGGCTTGCCGCACACACACCCCTCTCTGGGTCACCTGGGAGCATCAGAAGCAATTTGGGAGTTTGCTGTGCTTGAGGAGGTCTTTGGAGAAAGCGTGCTCTGAGCACTCCCCGTCCCTCCCCCTGGGCTGAGGGAAGCATGGAACCAGCCCTGCCCCAGCCTGTCATTGGCTGGCATGAGGCAGAGGGGGCTTTAAAAAGGCAAACGTGTCTGGGCTGGGGACTGGAGCCTGTGCTACTGGAAGGCTAGGTGCCCTCCTCCAGCTGGCACCATGCAGCTCTCTCTTGCCTTGTGTCTCGTCTGCCTGCTGGTGCACGCAGCCTTCCGTGCAGTGGAGGCCCAGGGGTGGCAGGCCTTCAAGAACGATGCCACGGAAATCATCCCCGAGCTGGGCGAGTACCCCGAGCCCCCACCAGAGCTGGAGAATAACAAGACCATGAACCGGGCAGAAAACGGAGGGAGGCCTCCCCACCACCCCTTTGAGACCAAAGGTATGGGGTGGAAGAGAGCACTTCCTCTGACGGGAGGGTTCTCTTTGGGACCTGTTGAAGACTGGGGTAGACCCTCAGGCGCTGCCAGCAATAGGTGGAGGGACAGTCTTGCCTGGAGGCAGGGGAAGGATAGCGGCCAATGTAGCCCTGGAATCCGTCTGCAGGGACTTGAGGCTGGCAAGGGGCTGGCAGAGAGCCTGGGGCAGGATGGAGGTGGTAAGGGTGTAGCATTGAGACAGGCTCGGCTGGGAAAGGAGGTTTCAAAGAATCCCCTCCTGAGATTCAGGAGCCAAGTCCAGCTGCCAGCACCACCGGGGAAGGGACAAGACGAGGGAGCGTCACATCTATGAGCACTTGCTGGACCAGGTGCTCCATGTGGGCCGTGCATGTACTACACCCCAGGGACCCACCAGGTGGGAGCCCCACGAGGTGAACTCTCAGTTCGAAGGCGAAGAAACAAAGGTTCCAGGAGTTAAGTAGTCTGGTAGTGAGTCGAATAACTGAGATTTGAACCCAATTTGAATCAAATCCAAGACAGACCTGGTGGAGGATTATGGGTGGGATCTTGGGGACCAAAACCAGAGCAAATCCCCTTACAGCAGTGGGAAAGGGATAGCAGAAAGGCACTCCATTAGCTCCCTGTGCCCCCAGTCTACCCGGTGAGCTGGCACTTGAATGGGAGTATAGGTACAGTTTTAGCCTCTGATGTGGGTGGCAGCTGGGCCCAGGCCCTGGAGGGGAGGCAGCATCAGCATACTCTGTGCAGGGAGAAGACAGAGGTGTCTAGTGAGCCCAGGATCCATCCTGAGTCCTCATCTCAGTTCCAGCCTCGCCTCATTCCTGGGGAGGGAGTCTGACCCTAGAGAAAAGTCAATGGCCCCAGTGGAGGGGTACACCTGGGTTCCTAGTCAGGTCTGCACAGAGAAGCCTGGGGGGCACTGTGCACAGCTGGTTCTGCAGCTGGCAGGAATGGCTGGGGGCGGGGACTGGGAAGACACTTTAGAGTGAGGGCCTCACTGCCCTCTGGCCATTGTGCAAGTGGGAAAGGAGACCACCGCCCAGGCTCCTGCATCCCATCCCTTCCCGCCTCACAACCACTGGGCTGTAGGGGACCCAGGTATGAGGTGTCCACTTCCCTGGGCTCCCGAGAGAGGCCACAAGCCCCAAGGAAGCCAGTTGCTCAAAACAAAGTCACCCTCTGCAGGGGAAGTGCCTGACCTTGGGGCACTATTCTTGGAAAGCCCCAGAGCCTCCTTCCCTGGGCAAATAAGCCACCCACCCATACCGCCCCTGCAGCCTGGGAACAGGGGTGAGGATGCCAAACCAACCCAGAAACCAGAAATCCAGCCACAGGAGGAAGGTGAGCACCACATCTCCCCTGCTGTGCTTGCTCTCCAGAGCCTGGGGTGGCTGCCTGGCCTTGTCTGCCCTTTCTCTGGTTTTGGTCTTAGAACTATTTTTCATACCTTTGTGTCACATGGGAATCATCCCCATGACACCCGTGGGGGTGGACAGGTGCTCACATAAGGACCAGCTATTTAAAAAGCTCCCACTCATTTAAGCCCACAGTAGGAGACACCATCAAGGTGACTTCAGGTGACCAAGTCAGGCTTCAGAGCCCAATCTCCCCCCACCCCCAGAAAGCAAGCTGGTGCCACCATCAGGTGTCCATTCAAATAGCACAAACAAGAGATGAGCCCAGCAGAGTGCCTGGCATGCAGCAGGTACTTAATAAATGTTTGTGGCAGGTTTTCAGTCAGAGCTCGGTCCCTCTCTGGTAGGGAAGTAACTATGGTAAAAAGCAGCCCTTTGCCCCCCCATTCCCTACCCCCTAGCCCAGCTTGGTGACACAGCTTCCACCCATGTGGGAGCCAAGAGGTGCTGGGGTCCCAGGGAAGTGGAGTCAAGAGATCCAGCTCTGCCTTTTGGGCAAGTGCTTTTCCCTCTCTGGGCTTCAGCGCCCTCAGTGATAATGAGGGGGTTGGACATACTGCCTTTGGCTCCTTTCAAGTCTAATGACTTCTCCTCCTCTCTACCTCCCCTTCCATCCCTCTCCTCTGCAGCAGCTGCCCTGATTTATTACCTTCAATTAACCCCTACTCCTTCCATCCCCTCACCGCCCCTCCCAAGTGGCTGGAAAAGGAATTTGGGAGAAGCCAGAGCCATGCAAATTGTGTGGCTAGTATCAACTTTGCCATGGTCAGGGACCCTGTGGCATAGGTGTGGCTTAAGTCTGGCAAAGAGGCCCCCCCCCCCCTTGGAGAGAAATAATAACAACACATAATAACAGCAAACACTTCCAGCTCTTACTACGGGGGGCCAGTGGTGTCCCCCGCATTACATAGGCCATGGATTGACTCACGGAATCCTCAGGACAATCCATTTTACAGATAGGAAGCACAGAGGTTAAGTAGCTTGCCCAAGATCACAGTGATGGATCTGGTATTTGAACCACAGAAACAACAGCAAAAAACACCCCCAAACAAAAAACTTGGCTCCAAAGGTTTAGGGGCAGATCTTTCCACCAGCTGGACCCTTCCCATAACAGATGCCCAGAAGCAAAAGCAGCAGGTTTGGGAAAGGCGGGGTGGTGTGGGGGGAGGTGGCGGGCGGGGTGGTTGGTCCGGCTGCCGCCCTCACGCGCCTCTCTCCGCAGACGTGTCCGAATACAGCTGCCGCGAGCTTCACTTCACCCGCTACGTGACCGACGGGCCCTGCCGCAGCGCCAAGCCGGTCACCGAGCTGGTGTGCTCCGGCCAGTGCGGCCCCGCGCGCCTGCTGCCCAACGCGATCGGCCGGGGCAAGTGGTGGCGCCCGAACGGGCCCGACTTCCGCTGCATCCCCGACCGCTACCGCGCGCAGCGGGTGCAGCTGCTGTGTCCCGGCGGCGCGGCGCCGCGCGCGCGCAAAGTGCGCCTGGTGGCCTCGTGCAAGTGCAAGCGTCTCACCCGCTTCCACAACCAGTCCGAGCTCAAGGACTTCGGGCCCGAGGCCGCGCGGCCGCAGAAGGGCCGGAAGCCGCGGCCCCGCGCCCAGGGTGCCAAAGCCAACCAGGCCGAGCTGGAGAACGCCTATTAGAGCCACCGCCTGCCGCGCCTCCCCAGCCGGCGCCCCCCGAACCGGGCGCCCCAGGTTTCTGCCCTCTGCGCGCGGTTTGATTGTTTGTATTTCATTTTAAATGCCTGCCACCCAGGGCAGGGGCTCAGACCTGTCTGGCTTCGCAGGAGGTAGCCAGGCCCTGCGGATCCCGGGTGCCAGCAAATCCCCACACTCCCCACCCGCCACCCAGGGGGTCCCGCAGGGCAGGGGAGGGAGCTGAGAGTCACAGACACTGAGCCATGCAGCCCCGCCCACCGGGGCCGCCTACCTTTGCAGGTCCCGCTTGAGAGCAGGCAAAAAAGAAAGCATTTCACCGCCCTGAGGGGATTTAGGAAGCGGTGGGGAGTGAGAAAAGTCTGGGGACTGGTTATGAAAGTTCGATAAGATCCCTGTCCACCTCTCTGTGGGTCATAAAGCATAGTGTCATACTGTGCCAAGAGCACAGGACCTGGGTCCTTAGATAGGGTTTCTAGTCCAGGCTCTGCCACTAACTTGCTAGGTGACCTTGGACTACACTTTTCTTTTTCTGGACCTTGACTTTTTATTTGTAAAATGCAGGTGGGGGTGGGATTGGGATCTCAAAGAATCTACTGCCATATGATTCCAAGGACTTGGGTGCCTTTCAAATGAGCAGGAAGAGAGAGGTTTGACTGAATCACTGCCATGGTCCTGTCCAAAATTCGGATTTGTAATTTTCTGATCTGACAGCCAAAGATGAAAAACAAGCAGGGAAAAAGAAGAGTCCATTTATGGCTGACAAACTCCTTAAAGATGCTGAGCTGTTTCCCTGCCTGACCTCCCCAGATGTTTGGCTACCTCCACCCCTCCATCACAAAGGATGCAGAAACACCATCAATTGGGGTAGAGAAGGAGAAGGTCCCATGGGTGGTGGGAGGGATAGAAATCACCCTGCAATTTCCAAAGAACAGCATCCCCCCCCCCCACCCGTGGTCATATTTTAAAGTCACCTTCTGCTGAGAAGCTCAAGATCCCAGGACTACTGGGCTTGCAGGCAAAGGGAGCAGCCACCACCCTTTCAAAGACCAGCAGATCCCTTCTGAGTCACCTCCACCTGCCTACCACTCACGGATACATTTGTCTAGAAAATTGCTTTTTACTGCTCTTACGTGTGATGGCATATCTTACATTAAAATAATATTATTGGGGAAAAAATTACAAGTGCTGTATATATGCTGAGAAATTGCAAAGCCTAATAGCTGCCATCCAAAAATCTTTTTGAAAATCCTTTTCAGACACCTCTTACTTTCTGTGTAGTTGCTAATTGTTAAAAAAAAAATTTTTTTTTTTTTTTTTTAAACAGAAGCACATGCCATGTGAAAGCCTGCTGGGCTGGTCACTTTTGCAATCTTTCATGTGGGATTTGTCCACAAAAATGAAAGTTGTGGTTTTTAAGAAGAGTTAAGTTACATATTTATTTTCTCACTTAAGTTATTTATGCAAAAGTTTTTCTTGTAGAGAATGACGTTAATATTGCTTTATGAAATACAGTCTGTTCTTTCAGAATCCAGAGGCATTGTTAATAAAGACAATGAGTCATTATGGAGAGGATGTGGTCTCAATTTGTCAACCACACACAGTCATTCCTGTCAAAGTTAACATCCTTCTCTTGGTCACTATGACACCTTTGACTGCTCTATGGTGGCCCTTGTGGCAATTATGTCCTTCCTTTGAAAAGTCATGTTCATCCCTTCCTTTCCAAACCTAGACCTCATTCCTTCACTCTGGCCACTGTAATAAGCTCAGCCTGGTCTCCTTCGAGCAGCCTGCCCTGCACACTATTTCAAAAACACTGTTCTCATAGTGTCCCAACCTTGCTCAAAATTCCTGAATAGCTCCTCCTTACCCAGGATCAAATTGAGGCTTCTCAGTCTGACATATAAGGCTTTTGCCTGCTTGATACCCATTCCCCACTCCACCCAGCTTCCTTAATGACATTGTGGCCACATGCTATACTGAGGATCCCTGCCTCGTTAGTGTGGCATCCCCACCCCCAACAACTCCTGCTCTTTATTTAGGGTTCATGTCCCTTATCATTTCTTTTTGAACCTTCCAGAGATGTTCCAATCCCCACTGATCCCTCTCTTCTTAGAAGTCCAGCCCCTTTTGTCCACGCCTCTACTTTTGTTCCTGATTCTATGTCTTTCATTTGACATTCATTCATGGACCACCTGTCTCATCTGGCCACGCCCTGCTTAGTACTGGGATAGACACAAAGCCATGTACCATTCAGGACCAGCTCACAGGGAGCTCAGCCAAGCTTTTTCTCAGATGTGAACTTTATGCCTCCCTCGTGAAGATGTAATCAGGGACAATGTCTTGCACTTCTTTCATGGTGCCCTGTGCTAGCTGAGACTCAAGAAATACTCTTCAGTTGCCATAAGGAGGGGCAATCAATTGCAAAGCTTTAAATCAAGTCCAGCCCATCCTGGGGTAACCCTACCCTGAGAGCTCTTCTTAACCCCCAAAGTGAGCTGAGGTCCTCCCTGGTGACTTTTCACTTTAACTCCCAATGAACCCTCCCACATCCACTGTCATCATCAATAAGTCTATGCTAGGTGTCAGCGAGTGTTGCTGCCTCCAAGGCCCCAGAAGGCCTCAGTGAGACCCTGCAGGGAATCTGTGCATTGTGAGGAGAGCCCCAGAGCCCAGAACACAAGAGCAGGTAGGAAATGGATACATTATCCAGCTCCCAGAGGCAATGTGGTTCAGTCGGTGAAATGGCTCTGGAGCCATGTGTGTGTGTGTGTGTGTGTGTGTGTGTGTGTGTGTGTGACTCTGAGGACACTAAGGCGCCAAGGGGTTAAATGTTCTGCCCACAGCTGGATATGAGCTCAGTTCCCCATCCTGACACTCACTCATGCTGCTCAGAGTCTGGTGGGCACATGGGCACATGATCAGCTCACATTGTTCTGTACAAAGTGTTATGAGACCAAAGACAGAAGTAATTGGCTCTGTGGTGGGGACAAGGGATAAAGGTTAGGGAAAGTTTCACAGAGGTGGGTGCTGCTTAGAGGTTCACCGGGTGGAGAAGGGAGTACAGACTTTCTAGACATTCTAGGTGAAGGCACAGCCCAAGCGAAGGCCCTGGGCCTGAAGATGTAGGCTGTTCATGGTGGACAAGACTTAGTCTCCCATTCCTCAACATGTACTGAGCCCTCGCTGTGTGCCAGGCAGTGTGGGAGACTGGGAATTCCAAGCAATGCCTCATACCAGATACACCTAGGGTCTGCTTTCTGGGACCCGGAGATCCAGGCGGGATCAGCCCAGGCTGCAATCCCATTACCACGAGGGGAAAAAACTCAAAGACTAAATTGTAGGTCGGGCTAGGGGTTATTTATGGAAAGTTATATTCTACCTACATGGGGTCTATGAGCCTGGCGCCAATCAGAAACGGAACAGACAACAGGCTCAGCTGGGAGGGGTGGGGTTCTGCTGCTGGGAGCACATGTTCTGGAAAGCAGGGACTCTTGACTGTCGCTGCCCACCAGTAGCCAGTGTACAACAGATGCCTCGCATTAATTGTGGTTGCATAGTTGTTGTTCAATCCATTGAGGATCTCTTCTCTCATGAGATTAGGTGGATGGCATGAACTAGGATGTATGGATGATGGTGGAAGGAAGGAGGGGAAGCTCTGACGTCCATAAAAAGAGGCTGCTTGCCTGGATCAGCTTCTGCTGGGTCTTTGAGCAAAAGACACAGCTCCTACCCTCAAGCAATGTATCATCTTCCTGGAGAATCGAATGGAAAATGAGGGCACAAGGTGCCGCTGTGGAGTATATGGTCACTTGCCACTGGAGTGTTGAAGATCTGAGGGGCTGGGGGACTTCAGAGGAGCAAGACAGGGATGGGGTCCTACTGAGCTGCCAGGAGGTGGAGGGGAAGAGAGAAGAGACAGTGGAAGGAAAAGAGCAAGGGGGCACACACCAGGGGTGGGGCGATGCTGGCATGGGACCTGGCGCGCGGTGGGCACTCTCTCTTCAAGTTTATTACACGAGGAAGCAGTGCCCTGAATGACATTCTGCTCTTCGTGAGCCTGACAGGGTTGCTTTAGAGACTGAGCCCTGCCTTTCTTACAACCTTACCCCCTCAAATTCTCAATTTTCCTACAATTAGCTGGGGTGCCTGAGCTTGGATCCTGCACCAAGAGCCAGAGCTGGCGGTGGGCAGCTGTAGGGGGGTATGGGTACCCGTGCCGGAAAGCAGGAATGGGAGGTGGAGGAGAGGAGGCCGGACAACAATCCTCATCTTCCTGACAACTTCCTGCCAGGAGGCTTAGGGTGGAGGCAGGAAAGATGCGGGCAAAAGAGGAAGAAGGAGGAGAGAGAGGACGGACATGGAGAGGAAAAGAAGGGGAAGCATTCATCATTGCACGAATGCTGAGTGCCAGCCGTGTGCCAGGCACTGCCCGAGGCTGCAACAGTGTGGTTGTGGTTATGGAGCCTCCTGAAGCTCGTGGTCTGTGCCAGCAGGAAGGTGGATGTCGGACAGATAAGGAAATGCAGAGCATAATGCCCAGGAATGCTAAGTTGCGTAAAGCGAAATAAAGCTGGTGAGCAGGTTAGAGAGCCAGGCCAGGCTTCTCTGAGGACCTGGCATTTAAGCTGAGACCTACATACAGTGAGGCAGTGAGCCACACAGGACCCGGAGGGGCGCATGTGCCAGGAGGGGGAACAGCAAGTGCAAAGGCCCGGAAAGTATGTAGGGGTGGTGAAGGGACACCACTAATCGCCTTGGGTGTCTTTCAGGCGTCCTCATGCCAAGGCTGCTAAGCCCTGATCTGGAAGCCAGCATGGTCATTATAATTATAGTGGGGAGGTGTGGTGTGTGCGTGTGTGTGTGTAAGAGAGAAAGTGTCTTTTTTGTTCTCTTGCCTCTATATGTTAAAGACCATGTGGCCCCAGAGAAGAATAATTTACATATTATTAGTTATGTAACTCTGCACACCTTTATTCTTAGAGTGCATGGTAGGTTTGCTTAAGTAAGGCTGTGGGCATTGGACAGATGCATTTCTCCTAGGACATACATACATTATGAAATTTCTATACAATTGCAGAATGTCCACAGTTTCCTTTGCTGGATGCCCACAGAATCCAAGTTGGGGTAAAAGCAAGGATTAGCTCGGCCCAGGACTGTGCAAACACACGTGTTGGTGTTCTTTCCAGCGGTGGCCCTAGCCCGGTCACATAAATATACCTCGAGGTGTACATATTTGTTCTGTAGGTCAGGGGGTTGAGATCTGAAGGATAAGAAGGAGTGTAGAAATGAATTCCTTCTGAAAAGATTCATTTGTACTTCTCTGAAGTGTGTAAGAATGTTCCCTTCCACGAGCG